AATAAAAATCATATATAACATTAAACAAAACTTTGTTCTGCTGTGATAGAGCAAATAATTTCCACAAAATGGACATAAGGAAAGCCTTTAATGCAAAACCTACTTCAGGATAATGCATTTTCTCACCAGATGTGTTGATTTTTCACAGCCTTTCTTGGCTCCACTCCAGCTGACCGCCCACCCTCAGCCCCCAGGGCCAGTCAGTGCTTTGCAGGGAGCAAAGCTCCCGCCTTGCAGACCCCGCTGCAGCCGGGCCTGCCCAGCGAGACCCCCAGGGCTTCGAGCAGCGGTTTGATGAGGGCGGAGCAGGAAAGGCGGGTTGGGATCCCTTCCCTAAGCTCTTCTGCCCTTTGCCACGAGGCTGGTAACTCCTGGCAGGGGCAGGCACAGAGGGTGCTGAGCCAGCACAGCACAGCCAGTCGATTCTGGGCATCCACGTCAGCTGCCACTCCAGCTGGGTTCAGGCTCCACCTGGCTCCGTGGTGCTAAGAGCAGGTAGGCCTGCTCAGAGCATCTAGTGGCTGTGAACAGCAGTTTCAGCTGTATTATAGTACAAGTAATAACATCTATAGTGGAAGCAGGGCAGTTTTGAGTTCAGTATTAAGAGTTCTCCTTACTAAGTAAATGTTGCCTTTTGCTTTAAAAGAAGAGATAGAGATATATTTAAACAAACAAAACAATGCCAAGAATGTTTTTGCCTTGCTCCCCCACAAGCACAATCTTCTCCTGTTCAACACATGTAAATGGTAAAATTATCCCTGGTTTCCTCGAGTCCTAAAGCACTACAGGTGTTTACACACCAAGGAAGACTTCTGGATTAACAAGCAATTTCAACAATGTAGGGAACTGAGCAGAGGTGGCGGCAGAGAACAAGGAACACAGATACAGAGTAACAACTAGAGAATGGGAACTTTACCACATGCAGAAAAAAATTACACATTTTTTGAGCAAATGCTGGAGTGAAAGGTTTTCAACAATTAAGCCATTCAACAGCAAACAATTTTCTCCCAAAAATGTGGATAAATTTAACAGCTTCGAGTTAACTGTTTTAACACTGCATGCAAAGCTAACTTGAAAATACTTTTGCTAACACCTAAACTAGATGTTACAACTGTCAGTGCAATTCTGTCTTTTTACTTGATTACACCAGGAAAGTCAAAACCTGTAAACTTACGATTTTCTATTCTAAAGTCAATTTGTTTTAGAACTTCTAGCCCAGCTAAGGGACCATTCAGGTGTAGTTTTAAAAGTCGATCCATTTGTTTACTTTCTTGTAAAGACAATTGTCTTGTAAAGACAATTAAAGACTAATTTTCCCTTAACAAGGATAAGACATTCCTTTCTACATAGGACATTAACTCAAGGCCAAGGTCTACCAAATGGATAAACTTATGAGGTATTTTAAGTAATGTTTCCTTTAATTACTTTAGCAAAGCAATTATTTTGAAAAAACTTATTTTCCTTGCTCTTTAGACACTGTATTTGGACTCTCAAGCTTTTCAGCAAGACCTGGAGAAGCACTTTCTTTTTCCAGAAAACTCCATCTTCTCAGGCACAGAACAGGCCCATACACACTGGCCACACACAAGGTACAGGATGACACAGGCAAGGTGCAGATGTGAGCTGCAGCATCCCCCTTTCTGCTCGGGCCTGGGAGCCTGTTTTATGGCCCCAGCACACATCTCCTGCAGACCTCAGCAGGTATTCTCTCTCCTCCAGCAAGAACTAGAAATGCAGATGCCACCAGGCCATACTCTCACAGATTGAGAGCTATTCCACACCACAAAGAAAGCATTAAATCTTTGTAAGGCTTCACAACGGGCACTTGTGAGCCCAACCCTGTCAGCTGCCCACCCTGCCCTCACACAAGTCCTGGGGTATCATGGTTACCCGCACCCTGCGTTTTCGTGCTACCCGAGGGGCTGCGCCACAAGTCACCACCACACAGCGACTGAGCCACCCCGAGCCCCACTGCCCATCCTCAGCAACCCTTACCTGCCGCGGACTCCTCGCCAGCCTCTCGGAGCTGCTCCCCCGGGCCGGGCCCCGCCAGCCCAGGCGAGAGAAGGGGCGGGAGGCCCTGAGCTAAATAACTAGAGTTACAGCGTAACGGAAGAGAAAAACCGGCAGCAAAAAGCAGTAATTCTGGATAAACACCAGTGGGTTTCGGGAGACCCAGTTATTGATAACACCTGGCGAGGGAACGCCCCGGCCGCCAGGAATCCCGCCTCACACCTGCGCGGGGCGGGCCCAGGAGCGCCCCTGGAGGCACCTGCGGGCTTGCCAGCCCAGAAACACACAGCTCCCACAGTAAAGCTACTGAGCGTCCTTCTGTATAAGAGGGTTTCTTTTTAAGTTACTAAGATTATACTGCACTGTTACAAAACAGGTTGCCACATTTCATTCGTGTTGATCAAGCAATGGTAAACAGACTGTCTGTGGGGCTTTTTGTTCTAATTACAGCTCTAATATAACTGGGAGACACACCTGAGATCCTGTTGTACAATGAAAGGCATTTAGGAGGTTGGTCTCACCTCCAGATCTGATCAGTTAGTTGCTCCCTAGTCACAGCTGGTGGGTCAGCATATCTGTTGATCATCAGGCTGAGGGCTGAGCCACAGCCCCACTTGCAAGAGCCTAAGACCAGGACTATTTAAATGCTCATTTCCTAGGACTGATAACAATGGAAATACTTCTGTTTTGCAGAAGGAAAGGAGTAAATGCTTCCACCTGCAACACCATGGGGAGTTGGACTGTAGGTGCAGCCCATCATTCACTCGTAGACCACAGGCATTTGTTCTGAGTAGCTGGCAGGAAAGTGCAGCATTACTTTTATTGAAAGCATTGGTTCACACATTACTAGGAACACAGTACCACTTTAGGAAAGGTTACCAGAAATATGAATATATTAAGTAACCTCAGAGGTAAAACCAAAGATCTGGTCCACTTTTGTACATGCTAAATCTATTTTTTTCTAGCTCTGTCCATACCACATAGGCATGGCTAGTAGTTCTCATTCTGCTGGCAGAGCATTCCCTTCAGACTGACCCATCCCAGCATGAGCTTCCAAGAACAGAAATCATAATGCAGTTTATAAAAGAAAACAGAATGGAAGAAAAATAATAATAATAAAATTAAAAAAAAGGCATGCAAACCTAAGGCTCTATTTCAGCCTGGCAAGCTAAGCTGGAAGCTTGTTTTATCATTATGGCCAAAAGCAGAATACAATGGAAGCCTGATGCAAGAAGAGAGAATTTACAGCTTTTATTAGGTCTTACAGATAACCATAGTATGTCTGATCAGTAGTCACTGTATGAAGATACAAAATGAATGTGAACATAATGTATCACTAAAGTAGTATTATCACAAAAATTAAAAAGACTTTTCCAGATGAGAAGACTGCTTATACCTGGCTAATCTCAAGAGGTGATTCTAATTGTTTACAAATAGTCTCATTATCATACATCCTGAAGTTCTAGAGCTGAGGCACTACAGCACTGACGTCAAAAATCTCACCCATCTTCCCAGTTTTATATATGCTATGACTAAAATAATAAAAAAACAAAACACATTTCCAGACAACTTCAGTCTCAAATCTCTTAAATTTGTCTTGAATTTCTAGATATCAAAAACTTCTAACATACTTGCTCCTGAGGATAATTAGGCCCTAAATTATTTAAGTATACCTGAAATATACTGGTAATTTACAAAAATGTTTCAGGGTTACATGACTGGTAAATAAACAAGTCTTTGGTAAATACCTACTCTGTTCACTACTCATTTAAAAAGTTAATTAATTTCTAAATCTAAATTAACTGATTTATTTTTTAATAATTATTTCTATAATGAATAAGGCTCACATGGCACAATGGTGAGTGGGATGAATGGGTATACGTAGCAAAACCTGAATTATATTTTCAGGGTACCAGTCCTGTTAATAGTAGGTTCCTGCTTTGGCTCGTTTTCTTTTTGTACCCTTCAGTCAGGCCCAGGAAGCTGAATCTGAATGAGAGCTTTCTAACAAAATAAGATTTCCAACATTTAAAGGTGCCAACAATCTCGAAAATACTGTCCATTCCAAGGATACATTCTACAGTAGCTACTGTATTGTATGCTAAAAACTAGAATAAACCAATTAGTTTAAGATTGAAATAATACATTACAGCTGCAGTATTTCCTAAAAATGTCCAGTTTACCACCTGTGCTGTAAAACAGAAAAACTAGGCACTATGCATGCTTGTGTGAGGTGGAGGTGACTGCTTGCTCTCAAATGAAACCTAAAGGCACAGGACATTGGTCATGTGAATGAAAATCTGGTAACAAACACTGACTTCCATTTTATTAGAAGGATCTAATTAGAAACTGAATGTCTAAACTGATACTTCTACTGTTTGTGTACCAGATACCTTCACTTTGGCTAAAGGATACTATACCATGTATTTTAAGAAAAACAGCAGCATTAGATAGATTTTGTAATTTCAGAGGAGAAGTAAAAACATTTAGGTTTGGCTAATAGAGTTTTGGGGAGTATTTTAAACATGTCAAAGAAATGATCAGGTGTTTTTTTTTGACTGTTGCCGTTTTACTGTTCTACAAGTTTTTTAATCATCTTCCCTTTTAAAGAATCAATTGCATTTGAGACAATAAATAGAATACTTTACAATAAATAATATTCAAGTCAAAGTATTGTACTTACAAAATAATATAACACTGTAATAGAATCTTCAAGATCAATTCTATTTTATATATTCTGCAGCAAAAATAACATTTCTAGTAGAGAAGGGTTACTTATAAACCTAGCAAGATCTACACTTTCACATGTGTGTAAACAACAAGATTTATTATGTTTTCAGAAAAGCTATGCTTTTACAACAGGTTTTTCAGCTAGATGTTATCATAATATGAAAGTATATATGTAACAGTGCTTATATTTAGCTGCATCACAAATCTTCACTTGAAAAATATGGAATGCCATTATTTACAAAGATTTTACTTTTGCTTCACAAGTGACTGTATCTGTGTGTGAACGAAGTGTTACGGCGAGACGTTCCAGATGAACTGCAGCTAAGGTTGGAGGAGGATGACTTCACGATGAACAGTGAAGGTCCTGGCAATAAATACCTAGAAAGGATATGAAAAATATAGCAGAGTTTACAGGCTACAGTGACATCCAAGAGAAAAATAATTAATTGTTCAAGTGTCATACTTTAAAATAGTTTTATGCAGGAAATTATGTACGACAAATACTATTTATAAAACATAAGGGGTATTAAGCACCAGCTAACTCAGAAAACAGATCTAAACTCAAAGAGAAACTCTTGACAAAATTTCAGTATGTTGTATGAGGATCACCCATCTTTCCAGTCCTTTCTGTTTAAAGCAAAAATCAGTGGCATCAGTGGCATCCTGTGTGACACTATTATGAAAAATTAATACTTCACCCATTGTTATCTGTTATTATAATACTACTTATTTGATTTAAACTGGGTAAAAACAATTTCAGTTAACCAGCTTACAAAAAGTTCCATTCTAAAAAAAAGTTGATTAGGGAAAAAACAGAATTTTTCACCTTGGGTTTCCAGCTCTAATTCTCTAAAAATCACTCCTCCTGTAGAGTAAAAAACAATGTTGCTATAACCTAGCAAGTGACATCTACCACTATTTTAGTTTCACAAAAAAAAAAAAAAAATTGTTGTGCTCAGAAAAAAAGTTATTCAAATCAGATTTTGTAAAGTACTGAAAAAATTGACTTCTTGTACATTTATTAAATTATACTCTTAATATCTTCTTGCACGTCACACAAATTCAGCGAGTCAAGAAAACTGTTATTGTTAGTAGCACAGATTCTTATATCATTAACAGAAACCTAGATTATATAGTATTGTAGGTCTCCCATTTATAGAAAAATAGTTCATTACCTTACAATTATTTGGCACAACAGGCAAAAGCATTTCTTTCCATTCGTATCCTTCATTTTAAAAATTCAGAATATCATGGTTAACTAACATATTGATGTATCCACAGTAAAACGTGTGGCAATTAATATAAAAACTGTAACTTTAATCAAAGTTGTCATGACACTCCATTGCTGAAGAAATACTGATATTTCAGATATAGAGGGCTTATATTTCTCCAGCCTGTGAAATTCATAAATAAACTTCAATTCAGCATCCAGAGGAACACAGAAACTGGAGATGACAAAGCTCAATTGGACCATCCCTTTCACTGCTTTCCAAACACAAGTCTGTTAGTCAGTACATTAGAGTAATCCAATTGGTTTGAATAGTTTGTGGTTGGTTGTGATGAAAAATTTTCTGCAGTATTAACAGTAAAAGCAATAAAAACTTCAAGGTTGAGGATTTTCTACTCTTAGCTAATCCAGATGACTTTACCATACTCCTGCTATGGTTCATCAGATGTAATATTGAATATGATTTGTTTTGTGGCTAATGTAATTCTACTTTTGCTATGTTAGTGTGCCTTAAGATCCATATGACAATAACAAATGCATTCCGTCTAACAAAGAGCTAGTCAGAGATATAGCAAGTAAGCAATTAAGTCATTTAACAGATGATATATCAAAGGTTTGCTTTTCACAGAATATTTAAATCATAAAGCCTTTCTATGAAATAATGTCAAACATGTGTAAGTTTATATACATAATAATTCAAATTGCCATTATGGATAGAATTTGGGACCTAAGTAATATGGAACTTACATTTAATTTTCTACCTACATCTATTAAATTGCAGACTGTTGACTCCCAGAATTGGAGCATTTTCAGTAATCCCTGTACTGACAACATTAAAATCCCTATTGCATTTGGTTGGAGAACTAAACCAGCCAATGGAGAATCAGGTAAGTGCCAAATAACTTTTTTACTATATGATGCTGTTTTGCAAGGTTTGAAAATGTATTTATGCTCTGTAAGATGAAATATCAAAACTTTCAATCTGTAGGTTTTGGAAATCAACTTTGCAAAACTGTGCAATACAGTAAATCAGATGGCACTTACCTGACCTCTGGCTGGAGCTGTGCCCCTATAGCATCCCACTGCGAATGTGAGGCCAGAAGTATCATACATGTTAGGATACCTCTAGGAATGCAAATCTGGAATCAGTGACTTTGAGGGATCTGAGAAGGGGAAGAAAGGAAATTTTCAGTTCACTTTATGGAAAGCCTTTGCTGCAGCGGAGCAGTTGGCAACCAAGTTTTAGTAAGTGTAGTTTAACACATAATGTGTGTATCTATTCTTCTTTGTAGCACTTCCTAGTGGGCTGGAGAGATTGAAACAATAGAAACTCAGGATCAGGGGAATTGTGGGGAGTTTTGTTGTACTTTTTAAAAAATACATAGTGAACTAGGCTTGAAGAGAAGTGTAGTGGTAGCATCACAGACAGAAACCTGTTCCAATATTATTCTTTATACTTAAAATGTAGGAAGAGAATATTGAAATGTGTACCTTGTATCATCCCAGTGGGGGATTATCCCAGTCAGGGAACCTCTTGAGTCTGATGAATATTTGTAAACCACCAACAGGCAGTGTTTACAAAGTTGTACTATTCGTTGGCAACACTGGAGTTGCTCAGGAGTCACCACCTCTGTGCTTTTATTGAATATGGTTTCCCAAGAGCTCCTGTTATGGAAAAAGACATGACTTCATGTTTTCTGTCACAAATTGGAATCTGAGAGCTTCACTGGTTTCTATCCAATTTAACAATAGAGAAACAAGATTAAAAGCATGACCTTGCTTGTTTACAGGGAAGGTCTACACTATTTAACACAAACGCTGGCAGATGCTGAGTTCAAAATACAAGAAGTTAATCTTCATATGGGAAATATCCACAGCCATTTTTCACTTAATTTGTTCCCTTAAGAGTTTACAAGGCCATTACTTAGGTTTAGCATGTAAAGATTTACTGACACATAATTGTATGTGCCTTACAAGAGGAACAACAAAAAAACCTTATTTTTAACAGGCTATTAGTTGAATGAGAATGTAATGTGATAAGAAAGGAATTAATAAGAATAATAAATTATCTCTAAATGTCTACACAGCATAATAGTACTCTTCTTCTAATTTAAGCACATGATACTAAGAAACAAATATGAAGTTAATTTACAGGTGATTAGTATGTGTTCTGCTGCCTTATCCAAATAACCACACAAAGACAGTGTCTCAGTTTAGTCATTCAAATATTACTTAGTGTTCCATCTGGCCATATGGGGCTGGTCTTCTATAAGTGCAACTTGCAAAGTGTATCTACAGAAGCATTCCTTTTTGAAATGCAGACTATTGTGCTTTAGTTTTCTTAAAAAAACATTTCTCTTTCTAAAGAAAAACCAAACCCTACCATACCCATGTAAACCAGGTATGTTTTACCACAGAAGATGACAACAGTTCCTTGTGTATACCTCAACATGTGTATACCTCAACACTCTGCTTGTGCAAAATTCTGACCAGATTATAGATCATTACATCTGTTTTAAAGGCAACATGGGGCCTATGAAGACTTTTTTTTTTGGTCAAAACATTGTCCAGTACCACAGATGGCTTGTAAGCTTGTGGTCTTTTGTTTATTTATGAAAGAAGCACTTAATAGAGCGAGGAAAAATTGCTGCATCTGGCTTCAACATAATATCCAGGATTATTCAGCCTTCTCCATTGAAATAAGCAGTGGATTTCACATCCCTGGTACAGGAAGTTTGTCTGTAAAACGACATCAAAAAACCAGCAAGCTTACTTCTGCCTAGTGAGATGTTTTTTTAAATTATGCAGTATTAGGATGGAATTATGAAAAGTAATGACTAAAAATAAACTGTATGTTTAGTAACTGATTTTTAAGCCTAGCTCCTCAGTCAAGGTAGTATTTTCCAGCTGAAACTATTCAGTCCTACAGAATTTCCTCTGCACACAATCTTCAAGTGATGCAAGCATTTCTCATTAATTATCAATATAATTTACTGATAATATAATATATACTGAACAATATAAGCACTAAATGGGTAGATTAGGTTATGGTAGGTGGGTCTAGGTTATGGTCGGACTTGATCTTCAAGGTCCTTTCCAACCATGATGATACTATGATTGCATGATTCTATGAACTATTTAAGAAATACTGTTTATAAAGCATCAAAACTGTTTCGTCTGATAAACAGAATAATCCTACTACTTGAAGAAGTAATATTTTTTCATATATTTTTCTCTCATCATTTCCTGTATGGGAACTTTCCACATCTATTTTTACACAGAATTTAATCAACTGTCTTCATTCTTTCCTCATGAAGTCACATGGTGGTTGGGAGAGAGCAGCAAGATGAACTCTTAAGTATTACATTAGTTCAACAGATTCACAGTGTTACACATAAATATATCCTAGTTTAATCCATAAATCTCCAGAATCTTGTGGAAGAAACTCTCCTGCTAATATCCCCAAGTTCTGGGCTTTGAGGTCTGTGATCATTTTCCTACAGCTGTAAGCGATTTTATCAGTTAATAATAATACATGGCCTGTTATAACTATGGCAAATATCCACACACACACACAGAAAGTTTTTATTTGCTACCCAAAGCAAAAACATCTGCTTATCTCAGTGTGGACACTTCCTTTTCTGCATGTACTTAACCCCCACAACTGCAGGAAACAGCAAATGCAGTCAAGCACACAAATTCAAACTCATTATTTGTAAATCATAGAACTGACATTGCATTTGGCATGAGATGTCAGCAGCACTTGTGACTGAATTCTTCCCTTGTAATTCTTCAGCTCAGATAGATATGCCAATGTCTCCTGTTGATGATAAATCCATATTTGACACAGTGGTCTGGTCCCATCCAATGAAAGAGTCGAGCTAAAGCTCAGATATTTATGAAATTAGGTTTTTTTTCCTTACATTATATATATTTGTAAATACATTAATGAATGTCTGATTCCATTACTTAAATGGTTGGCCTTGAAAATTAGATTTCTAATCCTAATATATCTATATGGCTTTAAAACCAAGTTCAGTGTATTACAGCATTCTCTTGAATGAATATGTGAAGAAAAGCATGCCAGCATTGACTGTCATTGTGAAGCAATGAAGAAAACTCATATAAGAAAAAACAGGCTTACCCTGAATTACAGAAACAGCTCCACAGACCTTGACCATGGCTCCAAAGCAAGCGATTAAATACACGGTTAAAGAGACGATAGAGATGTAAATTTTCAATGTCTGGAGCCTTCCAGACACGCTGTAGAACTGCACGAACACTTGTCTTGACTATATCCAAAACCTAGGAAAGAATATTCCATCAAACCAAAGCAAAGGCATATTGGAAAACCTGAAAGCAGCTGTTCACTGATTCACTGCACATGTACATGCACAGATGACTGCATAGCTATCAATTCCCACATATGCCTATGTTTCATTTCTGTGCATTCAGCATCAAACTTTCATGATATGCTTTTCTGTCAATAGCATTTTGCAAAACAAAATTAAAATATTTAATCTTTATTACAGAAAAGTTCATTTCTACTTTTTTCAGTCTAGTCAATACTAGCTCATTTAAATGACAAAAAGAATTAAAAAAGAAACAAAACGGACACAATTACAGACTAGAAGCAACATAATTAACAAACCAAATATGATGTACTCAAAAATTATGTCTTCTTTTCCTTCTCCCTTTTTAAATGTCATTTGTTTTATAAAGAACTAAAATGTCCTGAAAAGCTACAAGCTGCTTTTGGTTTAATATCTGTTCAATCTCAAGTGTTTTTCTAGATCAAATAATTTCAGTTTATCATTCATGCAGGAAATAGTGTAGTGAAATCAGTAAGTAAGAAAATAACCAGTAAGAGATTTTAAATAGCAATGTTTATAGAAATGCAACAGTTTTATTATATACAAACTACATTTAAATGCACATGCATAAAGATGTGGTTGAACAAAAGGTTAATCTGCATTCAGTATAGCACAGACAGTTTTACTCAGTGACTCTCGGCTACTCAGTGCACACACACACTTCTAAGCATCCAACTCAGAGTCCTCTCTGATGCACATTTGCAAATCCCACTGAATTTGGACATGGAAAGTGGCATTCATCTTTCCTGCTTTTAAAAACCTAGGTCTTTACTAGTTCATTTTTCCCCTGTTTTGTGGAATATCTGAAGCTGAGCAGTCTGGTAGGAGTGGAGGGTCCAGGGCACTCTGGGACAGTCTGTAGTTTCACGCTAAGGTGTGGGAGTACAGGATCTGTTCCTGGTACAGGTAGAGGTGTGCACATCTCCACATCATATGACTGCATGCTTTGCACTTTAGACCACACTCTGTTAAAGTAACTACTGTATCCTGATTTGTACCCTGTACTCTTTCATTCTGTGAAGCACAGTCTCTTCTGATTAAATAAATTTGGGTTTGCTTTCTTTCTTATTTGGATATTTACCCAATCAAACCTAAATGTCAAATGATTGGGGAACGCTCCAATTTTGTAGGAAAACAAATGTATTAATTTAAAATATTTAGCTCAAAGTGGAGTCAGTTGTTGTTGTTTTGTTTTTCTCTGGGGAATGTGCTGGTGATTTAAAATGCAAACAGCTTCTTGGAAGAGATACTAAAATTATTCTAGTTACTCTACTATTTGTATCGTTCTGGTCATTTACTGTACAATACAGAATCTGATAGTAGAGTGTAGCTATTACTACAGTTGAAGTTTTTTATCTACAGTATTTCAGTTTTGGTGAGCATTTCACTACTGTCCCCTCTCTCGCTTCCTCCCATTATCCTGTATCAATAATTAGCGCTAAGCGTGACCCCATATATCTCAATTTTAATTACCATTTGTTGTGTGAGGCACAAATGACTGAGGACACACAATGCTTATTTTGTCCTGAGCAGTAGTTTTCAAACATTAATGTGCCTCCTATGGGGCAGTTCCTTAATATAAGTTGCTGAATTGAAGAAGGTTAGGCTGAACCTGCAGATTCTAGAAAAAGGAAAGCTCATCAGCCTGAAGTTTTTGGTGGCCAAGATCCGCTTCACAGCAGCTGCTTACCTGCAGGAGCCTTTTCTGTTTTGAGATCAGCCAGAATTCAAGCAGGTAGCTCCTCCTTCAAATCAGTCAGACATGAAGCAAAATTTACAAGTTTTTAGTGTATAATTCAGAAACTTCATCTTAGGTATTTTGATGGATAACCCATTAATGCTCATTATTGATCAACTATTATATTTTGTTGTAAACTAAGTGGACCAAAACATTTGTCTGTTGATAGTCTTTTCAGAGAGACAGAGTTAATAAGGTCGTATGCTAAATTTCTTCAAAATTTAACATTTTTTAATTTAAATAAGTCAATACTTTTACCTGTTTTTAATAGACCTCACTTGTCCAAAAACCAAAGCATCTTAGTCTTGGCAGACAATTGTTTTAAGCAAGTATAACAAAAACACACAGGTCTTAGGGTACTTTCTTTTTTTACTGAGAAGTTAAATGGTTTTTACAAATCCTCTGCTTGTATGTCAGACTATCTTTAATAGTGCTGTGAAGTAACTATAGAGGGTCTTTTGCATATCTTATGTTCTGGAAGGGCATTGACCAAACAGATTTCTACCAGTACTCTCAGAAGATTTTGTGTACTTTTACTTTTGTACCTGGAGTCAAATAAAACTAAGGACTGAACCTTGCATCTTCAAGCAAGCTGCAGACTGCCCGGTACTCAGGAAATAAATGTTCTTGCTGTTTTTACTGTGTTGGTATTGTCAATACGCCAGAAGGGAAAACATCCCAGTTAATTGTTCGTAGTTTGCAAACATGGCCACAATCATCCATTTTAAAAAAGAGACAAGGCATTACACAAGAGCTGGAACTTCATGAAACCTACATCCCCGTTTTTCTAAGTTAATTTCCCTAGTTTGCCTTCATTTTTCTGTTTAATTTACATCATTTACTTTAACATAACCCATGATCTAGGTGTAACAGAACAAGTTATAAAAGATCATATTCAAAACAAGATGTACAGACCCTCTGGTAACAATCAGAACACTTTTAAATAAATTATGTAAAGTGATGTAACACAAAGCAGTCATAACTCCTTCCATAGAAAAGTCTCTTTCTTGAAAGTCTTAGGAGACTAAATTTCATTTTAGCACGTATCGATTTCATCAGTTTACTCTCAACTTGATTCTAAATGCTTCCTGTACCTCTGTGGTAGTACTGGAATATTAGACACTAAGAATATGAGCAAGAGTTTAATTTTTCTACATCATATTGAATAATTCTTAAGAAAATACACCTGTCAGAGGTGAACACTGTGAAATCTAGTACATTGCCCAGGTGTTTTCTTCTCATGTTTTAGGACTTCCCAGTAAGTATAATGAAGGAGACTAAATCTCTGGTTTGTATTTCACTAAGTTGCAGAAGGTACCTTTGAGACACATTCCTTACATAAATATCCTCCACCTTGAGCTCACTTCTCCTTTACCCATCCATTGCAATATAAACCATATTTCTCCCAAATCAACAAAAGCTTACGCATTTTGCAGGCCTCAGCTGCAATGTCATTGACAATGTTAATCCATTTTTATAAACTACTCTTCTAAGAACAGTATCTGATTGCTTGAAGGGATTGAGGTTAAAAGCAGTTGAAAAAAAAAGGTAAACCATTTTCGGCGCAAGGAAAGACAAAGGGCTCACTAGTGCTTCAGGAATGATAAGCCTCCTAAATTGTAAAAGATGTCCTCACAGGAATAGCAAAGTAATCCACATTTTTGATTGTGCAGTTTTTGCTAATAATGAGCTGGCATATCAACCTGTGTCCCACTGACTTTGTACACATGCCCTCGGTTTTACACGACTGTCAGCCAAATAAAAGACAGAACCACCCCTTCTTGCAGACTTTCTGAAGTAGCACTGAAAGGAGAAAATTCTGACTAGATTGAAAAGAAAGTTCAAAAAAACCCAGACACAGGTAAATTAAGCTAGATGGCCAAGAGGAGCTTAGGAGAGGCAATTGAAGAATGCATAGTAAACAGCCTCAGTCCCTTAAAGAGCAGATTTTTCACACTCCCTGCATCAATTCCTTTCAACAGTTTTGGAGAATGACCTATGGGGAAAGGCTGAGAGACATACCTTAACCAGTTCTGTGTGAATTCTATGAATTAGCCCTTTGCAAGACTAAACCAGTTTGTTGAACATTGTAAAAATTGCAATAATCTTTGCCTGACAGGTTTATATTTACTGAACATGATCTGTTTTACTGTGGGTCAGACTCAAATAACCACAGGCAGTATCACTAACTGTAATGGAGTTTTAATATGCATGCTCTGAAAGTGCTGAGTGGTTTATTCCTTATCAATCAAATCTACTGAATCAATACACTTCTAAGACTGTTAAAAATAGGTATGTCAGCACTTAGTTTGCTTTCTTTCAGAAGACTAAATTTTTGAAAAATTGTTTTTTAAAATTATATTTCAGGATAATTATGTTTGTCTAAATATGGAGCAACATAATTTCCTGCAATGGAACTAATTAATATATATGTTAGTATTAGAGCCAGTATTTTAGCATCTTAAGCCACTTTCAGCTAGTGCCAAACACCAGTAGAAACAGTGATATGTGTCTACTTCAAATGATCTTCAGAAAATTAAATATATGCCACTTACTTTGCTTTGCTTTCCAGAATCCAGTTTTATCAACCAATAGGATGCCACTTTCGTCTTATGATACTTCCAATTATCCATAATCTGTAGTCATTGCAAAACACAAGATAAAAGAAATACACATAAAAACTACTAGGATTTCATTCATGAGCATTCCTAATGCTAAAAAGTGTGAGCATCTAAGAGACCTCTGTGAAAATAACTTTTCTCTAAAAGAAACAGGTAAATGTGAGGAACATTTGCAAAGATTTGTGCAATCTTTCAGTTTAATCCTACCCTCTTTTCCACTTTGATTCTGAGAGCACCACAAAGCAGGTAAAAACTCAACTGACTTAGCTCAGATTCCTTTAACTCAGCAATAAGTTCAATAATGCATAGCTGTTAATCTAATTAAATAGTGACCTATTTTCTGCATAAAGGATATTAGAGACATTCCTTGAAAACATCCTTCTATAAATTATCATATATTAACTGCAATATGCTTCTTTTGTGAAGTCTAAGTGCTACCAAAATAGCTCAAGATGTGAACGTGCATTTTTGTTTTCATTCTGTTATTTAATCTTTCTATTCTATTGCAGACAAGGTCTGCATCACAGTTAATACACCCTTACTTGTTTCCTTCCATTATGAAATACTGTTTTCCACCAGAGGCTGCTTAAGGCCAGAAAAAATTATAAAATAATTCTGCAATTAGAAAGTGCATTTCTAACCATGATAACGTTGCATGAGAAAGCACCACTAGATGGAGTGCATACACATACACACTCCCATATATGCACAAATGCACACACACTCACATCTGAAGGAGAAAATTTAATTAAGCATTTGATTTCTGATCCTAAGATGAGAAACTAAATATGCTGGTTACAAATGTCCAGAATCACGAAAATGAACCATCATTACAGGTGAACTGTGATGTAGTTGCACAGATTACCAGAGACAAGGTAAGCACTTTGAAAGCTCACAGAACAAAGGATATTTCTGGCTGAATAATGAATTAGATTGATTTTAACATATTGTGGGGTATGCTTACTACGTCAGAATACAGGTGTTAACTTAAATGACTAGATCACTCCATATCTATTAGATAGAGAAAACATCATCTATCTTCATTTTTTTCTTTTCCTAGCTGATGTGTTTCTTTGTACTAGATAATTAAAAAGGATCTAGACACCATTTATTTTCTGCCCATATTTAGGAGTATTAGGTGTTGCTTTCTAATTGCTCCTTATATCAAGAATTAGCTCACAAGTCTTAGACACCAAATTACGAGGGCTCAGGACCATGATGAATATAAGAAAGGGTAAGCTGGCAAACAAGAAAAGTCAAAAAGAGTGTGACTGGTGTTCTTTATGACGAGCAAACTTCCAGTTTGTCTTGCAGCATACCACTCTAAGCTCTCTAGTGTACGTATTGAAGAGGAAGTTAAATATGTCAGGATTTGTACTAACAATATCAGACAAAATACAAACTGTTAAGGAATTGTAACATTCTTCTCAGCTTACTTAAAAGTTTGAACTTTATCCACAATGAAAAATTGAATTTTCCTAACCTTCCTGATTGTTTCTCATATATTTTATAAAGACACAGAAATGTGTTCCGAGCTGCTCTTTTAAGGTCAGAAAGTATGAAAAGCTCCAAGCTTTTGAAATCTTTTGAATTATCCTGACTTATGAAAAATTTAAGGCTACAGTAGCTCATGAATCATAAATTGAACTTTCTACTTTCCTTCACTTTAGTAGCCTAAACAGTGTCTAGCCTGTAATTTCTCTTACTTATGTATCAATACTTACATCTTCTATAATTAATTCTGATTCTTCTTCTGTTTTACCTGGGAACTTCATTCTCATGTCATTGAAAATGAGAAGAGTCTCTTTTGTCAAAGCAGCTTCTTGCTCTTTTGTTTTCTGCTGCAGCAAAGTCTCACTCTAGAAACCAGTTCAAAGCAGAGGAAAAATTTCAGGTATGTCATTTGATCGCATTACAAAGATTTTCCTTGACAAAAATTAATTCTAAATAGGGGTACATAAAATAAATTATTAAAGTGGATAGACATAATATCTAACTATTACACACACAGGCATCATGTACACTAAAATGCATTGCCATTACTTATAGTTGTCAGGAAATTCAAGAAAAACAGTTCAAATGCTTATTTGAAACAGAATTAAATATACATTCAATATTTATGGTGCCCACCATTTAAAACATAATTTTGAAATTTAGATAACTGACATTGAATTTAAATTTAAGATAATGAAAAGAAATTATTAGTAATAAAAATCTTCCTATTAGTTCTTTACTGGAACAATTTAACAGAAACTGTGAATTATATATCATTGTGCCAAGAATTAAGGAAGCTTTAAAATGAAAGAACACTTTGCTCCTACTCTGGTCAGTGGAGTTTCTGACAGCGCCTTCAATTGTCCAAGATTTAGTTTAAAATATCAGGGCTTTTTATGCCAACACCAACAGTTGTACAGTGTCTGCACAAGAGCATCTCTGGAGGGGCTTGGGGTTTTCTTTAAATCTTAGACACTAGTGAGAACTGTTTCTGATCCTCTTTCTTTACTTTTGCATTTGCAAGACTAAGTAAGCTTAATTTTATGTTTTTTTCAGGCATGAAATGCAAAATTTTTAGGCATTTCTAAATTTTTGCATAAGTAAGAGATAAAATTTTCAAGCATTACAAAATATTTTCCTGTATGATATATAATAATGTGGCTGAAATACGATAGAAAATATTTCCAAATCCACTTTAATTTATAACTGGTATAATAATGTGTCTGTCATTCCCAACTGTAAACTGTTTATTGTAAACTTTGCTTCCATGCCTTTAGTACATTTGGATCTCAGCAGCCTCCAAGAATGGCAACAGACTGCTCTTTTCTTGCCCAAAGGGTAGATAAACTAATTCTTTATCATGCATAAATGGTTTCTTCTTAGTGAATTACAGTTTATCAATTTTAATTTTATTCTAGCAGTAATATATAGTATATTATTCTTAGTTGAAAAATAATTATGGATAGACACACTATGGTGCTAAATTATATCCGCTCTGTAAGTAATTTTATTCACATTATTTTAAGATGCATGAGCTAAGCTCTATCACCCAACATAATTGTTCTGCATATCAAGATCATTTCTGTGGTTGAGCTTTCCCAATGAAAAAGAGAGTATGGTTTCTTACTAATGTTCATTTAAGTAAGTAGCCCATTTTTAGTGTCAGATGGTAAGAGACTGTTTTTAATCTTTCAGTAATTTGTATTTGATATAGAGTTAATGTGAATAGAAAAATCTATATTAGCCCTGTCTCATTACTCTCTCAGAGCATGTCCTGATGATAAAAGGGTACTTTTTAAACTTTAGATAACTAATGTGATAAAAAATACCTTCAACACATTGTGGTGAAGACACAATCTTAACGTCTTTCCAATTCTATTAGCTTACTTCAAAGATGGAAAATGACATTAAGGAGTATTGCACAAGATGTCACCACATAATTTTCAAAGGATCGTTTTTCATCATTTAGACTAAGTCTCACAGACAAAACAGACAATGAGCATACTACTGGATAAAAAGTATTAGAGAAAGTAAAAACTATGAAGCAAGTTAATTAGCATTACAGAAGGATTTCTCACAATCAAAGCTTACCACAATAAAGAAAGGCTACAAATATGGGTTAAAAGTGCCAATTTCTTCTGCCCCAACTCCAGATGAAATATACAGGTCAGGCACCAAGGCATAAATGGAAATGCACTGGCACCCACTGCAATGCAACACCCAGGTAAAATACTAGATGAGGTTAGGGACCAATGGAAGCAAATACTGCCTAGGCATAAGTGGATATGTGGTCCACCACACAAACATAAAAGAAGAAATGCCTGGATTGTGAAAGAGATAACAAAGAGGGTCACAGTCTGGTCACAAAAGGAAAAAGTGTGTGGATCAGTACAATGTGAAGTTACAACTTGCCTCACAAATTCTAAACAGCTGAAAGTGTTGAATCTGATCTATTTATTCTATGAATTATTTAGTTGGATGACCTGAGCCTAAATGCTTGTCTGTCTCAGAGATAGGCTTCAAAATGAAAGAAGCTTTATCTTCCCTTAAAAAAAACCCAAACAAACCCAAACAAACAAAGAAAACTTCAGAGACAGTAACTGAACTGGTAAACCCTAAAGATAACAAAAGCTCACTTTGGAAGTAGAGCTCTACTGCAGTGGAATCATGTATGCAAATTAGGTACAGTAGGCTGAGAATTACACCTTCTTCTACAGTGGACAGCCATACAAAGTATTACTAATATTTATTCTGGTACAATGCATTTACCCTTGGATTATTCAGGGGATTTGAAATATTGATATATTTTTGTTACTGTAAATATTTTGAAGGTAGGTACATCCTTATTTCAGAACTAGCAGTCCCCAAACAAATCACAGGAACTTTTAAAGTCAAAATTAGTAAAAATTCTTTGTTTCTTAAAAAAACTATTGAGGAGAGCAGGTTTCCTTGTCACAAAAACTCTCAAGATTCACATTCTCACAAAATGTGACATCTGCAGCAGAAGTACTGGAACATCACAGCTAGCGCTCACTGTCAGTCACGTGGGTCTAGAGATCTTCTGTTCCTCAGTTTCTGCCAAAATAGCATTGACTACAGTAAAACTCGGGTTTTCTGACATTGTAAGAACTAGTAACGTATTTATTGAGTTTTAGAGAAATGGAACACATTTTGAAAGCAATCGCTGTGTTAACTCACCCCTGAGGAGTTCATAGCTCCCGAGCTGGGTGTCTGAGAGACTCTGGCTGAAGATGGGCTGCGATTTAAAGAATGAGACCTATTGACCGAGGCTGTGCGCTGGATCTGCAGAGGTGCTTTGGCTGAAAAGGGCCGTCGCTCAGCTGCTTGTGACTGCACAGTCAATATTGATATTGAACGAGGGCAGCTGACAGAACGCCTTATTGGACCTGTAGATGATGTGGGAGGTGAATATGATGGAGATTTTATATTTTTAATCGAAGGTTTCCAGTTCATTCTACCTGCAGACAAATTCAATGAATGATGCAGTTACTTATTTTTAACACCCATTTTCAGCCTTTGTAAATAACAACATATACAACCAGTATGTGTGCACATATGTTGTACTATAAGGTATGCTGACTAACAACGTAGCAGACGGTCGTGTCAGATCCTGGAATAATGCATACTTCACATACTGTTAGAACATTTATTACTTCTATCTATAATATGCTTTAGATTTATAACAGACTGCATATGCCCCATAGGTCTAAAAGTATGTGGTTGCTATGTGTGGCCTTCTGACTGTAAGGATAAGGAAGCAGGAGAGAAAACCTGGTTGATGGATCCCATATTTGCAGATCTGGTATCCTTCATCTGCTCCTGCATAGCTGCACAATTCTTTAAATTCAGTGTTCTGCTAAGTAAAGGATGCTGCTATGAAAAATAAAATTTTCTAAGCAGCATTATGTGTGTGTAGTTACATGAGTAAACTCTTTGAGACAATGCACCACTTAGCAGCAAGCAAGAGATCAACCACCAAAAAAATCTGTGTTCGGATCTCATCTGGAATATGTTACCTTCTATACATCTCCAGATACATTTCTTTATCCTTTCTATATTCCAGCATATTCAAACTTAACAAGACTACCTTTTACAGGGAAAAGCATAACAATCTGCTAAAGAAAAAAAAAATCTAGGAGGAAAGAACAACGTTCACACCACTTCCAAGTACAGCCCAGGTGTAATTTTCTCTTTTGATTTCTTAGCAAAAGAATATTAATTTACTTCTTTTCCTAAAGAAACAATTTCATTAACTTAGAAAATGTTTGAAAGAAAATGAAACCAGCAAAGCAGTGTTTAACCCTGAGATACAAACATTGATACATCCTAAAATACTGAAGCATTTTATATAATTCATCATGAACACCAGGCTTACTTGGACAAGTGATCACTTGACTTACCTGATCGCTCCAAAGATTTGTATTTATTTTCTTCAAGATCATATGAAACTTTCTTCTCTTTTTTTTCATTGTGGTCTTCCTTTTCAGTTTCTTCTCCTGATTCTGTCATACTGCTACTGCTGTCACAGCTATCACTACTGTAGTTCTTAACTTTTCTTAAGGGTTGTGCACTTTCTGGCATTGAACACAAGGGCTAAAGGAAAAAAAAAAGAAGAGAAAAAGAAAAAACACCAAATAAAATAAATTCCTTCATAACCCAAAAAAACACTTTCATTTTCACACTAGGTCCCTTACTCAGGCCAGTTCATTTGTACATTTTAAACCCTTTCAAATCAGATTGAAAGTTTGTCCTGAATTTTAAACTAAATGCTTAAATATTTAATTAAATTAGCTATATAGTAATCCTCATCTTTCTCCCATGAAGAGCAGCATAACATAATAAGTGGGAAAAAAATCATTCTATTTCAAGCGTGACTTACACTACCAGACATATTGAATTATAGTTTGAAATTATAAATCAATTGATATTGTATTCTGTCGGGCAGGCAAGAAAAATACAATGTTCTCCATTAGATCTATTATCCTAAGAAGGCTCATGTAGCCACTTTTTCCCCCTACACATTTTCCTTCTTTCCAGTAACTCTCAGCTATTCAAAATGATGGTGACGGCCTCTTTTTCCTAATCATCTAATGGACTGAAATTAAAACTCATATTTTTTTAAAATTATTATCATAATTTGTTAACATATTTTGGGTAGAGTGAAATAGAAGAACTCTCAGGATTTACTTAAATTGCCCTGTTATCTTAGCATAATGTAATGCACCACAAGTTATTGTGAAGAGCAATAGATCAAAGCCTTGAAGATACTGATCCTACAAAATATATTTTATAACTAAACATACTCTAACTAAACTCTTATTCCAGTCAAGGAAGGAAAGCACCTTCCGCTACAAAATCAACAGGATGTTTAGGCAAGCCCAAACTATTAGACCACATAAGGAAGTGGTGAAGAAGTACAATCCATTGAGGAGAGCCCTGGCATTAGTTCAGACTACTCCAAGAATTGTTTGATATCTATCTACCTGTCAAAAGGACAAGTCAAGGTGCCTCAGTACTTACTGATGTCTCAAAAATAGCTGTGCTAATAATGAAATTGTATGTGTCACGGAGATATATTGATCAGTCACTCCTGTTGAGTTAAACAAGGTGTAATAAACATTTTCAATCAAAACTCACAGGGGCTTTAAGGTAAATCTCATTCTCACTTATCATGTGCATGATCCTCACAAATCCTACACCAAAGTATATGAAGATCCTGATCAAGACTTCATATCAATTAACAAAGAAGAATAAAAATAAAAACCAAAGAAATTACAAAAAAAAAATATTCATGACAAATAACAGCAAGATCTGAGTACAAACCAACCTCTTAGAATAAGATATTTGATTGCACAGCAGCTCTAATCACCTTGACTTTCCCCTTATGCTAACCTCATTTATCTTTGATCAAACTCATTAAACATCTGATTTTATATCAGAAGAATAAAAATCAAAGTAATTGCTCGTTTCCTCTAAAGTATCTGTTACTTTCTTTCCTTAGTTCTTTTTCCTACACAGAGTGCAATGTAAACCTCACAGTGTGTAAGGACAAGGTGCCCTCTAGAGGCTACAAATATGCCACACATTTCCAGAATGTGTTTCTCAATCTAAGTCAGTAATATTTTAACTGCAGGTAAAAATTCCTTCAATCTAGGAAATTCTTGACTAGTTTTCTACTCTGAGCTTCTAATCACATTGAAATTAAAAAAAAATCCCTGAAATTAGCAGCAAATATGAAATAGTTGTTACTTGCAAAGCTTATTTCTACCCACACACCCCTCTACCCCTCAGATATATCTATGCACATATGGATGGATGGATGGATGGATGGATGGATGATGCCTGTTAATTATTCCAGCTGTTCTGTGTAGAGTTCTGAGTCCCGATTGCTCCTTTTTCCAAGGAAGAGAGTGTGTCCAAGGCAAAGCATCTGATTTCCTAACTAGCTTCTGTCAGCAAGCCACTGACTTTTCAGGGACAGGACTTTATAATCTTCTGAAAGAACCTTTCATGTTGGGTAACACAACATGAACAGTACTGCTCCTTTATGTTTGTTTTCACTCCCAGACCTTTTATATGTTACTTTTTGTTATGGTAATGGATCTTTATTTGTAGGATTTTATAATTTCAAGAAGATGAGTTCTACAGATGAATTCTCCTACCTGACAGACTTACAGGCACTAGTAAGTTCTACTGCCTGCTTCACTCAACAGATTTCCATACAGACATATATTTAGATACCACATATCTGATAGCAGTCCCTTTACAAAGAGGTGGCCAATCAAATGCATATTAATAACCATATGCGTCTTTGCACCTTACCCCTCACATGAAAGAGGTGACGCTCTTTTGGTCCAAGATACAAGGGCCATCTGCAATAGGCATCTGTATTTCAAAGGGAGTGCAGAGAGTAATACACAACCAGGAAAGTCTCCAATCACATGGCTTCACTGTCAGCATCGTTTGAATTATTGAGAAGTATAAAAAAGATGCAGGAGTCAAGATCCTGTGCAGCATGAAGTGTGCACACTGCAAGGAACAATCTCCTTGGATAAGCCAGTTTCATTGCCTTCCCTTTTGATTTAATTTTATGGAAAGAAAAAAAAAATTTAAAAAAATGCAGCGGGAAGTTTGGCCACATGTAACTTTTTTCTTTCTCAGGTACAGGTAGAGCAGCATGTAAACTACAGAGTCCATTTGCCTGCTAGAAATGAAGACCATGTCATAAATTCATCCATAAATTCCATCAATTCATCAAATTTCATCTTAAAACTAATTAAGAGATGTTTCCCAGTTTGGGTTCAGTACCCTATTAAAAGTTTACAGCCTCCAGCTTGGGAAAAGCTTGTGTGCAACCAACGTGGAGACAGTGCATACAGTCAACAAGATAATGCTCTCTGAGGTGCTGCTGGGAAAAGACAGGCTTCTGGAAAAAGGAAAACGTGACTGAGACTTTGACCTTGGATTAAGTGACCCTATGTAACAACTGAAATAAAATCTCAAGGGAAAGAATCCCTGAAGAATGTGGGTTGAGTGTGTTGCCACGGTGGACTGGATTTTTTTCCTCTTTTTAAATGAATCCACCACTGTTAAAGCACAAACTCACAAAATCCCTGTATTTGTAATGAGGTTTCTGCAAATCTGTCTTAATACCAAATTGGATATGCAGATCCTCTTTCCAGTATGCATGCCTGCAATAAGATGTAGCTCTTTGGAATCCTGCATATATATAAAGAACCCAGCAAGCTCAGGACAATTGTCAGCATTCATTTTGTACAGAAATTCAGAGAGTTATAAGCCATGTTCTTAGAAACATAAAATGCTTCAGAATTTCTGAAAAACAAATGTACACGCATCCATGAACAAACCCACCAGAGCTCAGGAATATAAAAGTAGGCTCTACCAAGCAGACTAAAACTAAAATATTTGCAGGATATAAGAAACATACTTATTTTAGCCAAGCCTAAACTATTTATCTTCACTGGCTCACAGAGATATGCAGTATATTTAAAGCAAAGCTTGCATGAACAATGCACACAATCAGAAAGCATTAAGCTAAAAATAAAATATCCATGCACTTTAAAAGCAGATTTTGGATATTAAAACAGGCTCCAATATATACTGCACAGCCCTTTCATGCAAATAAGCAAACTACAGATTCATCATAATCGTAATTAATCCTTTGAGTTTCCATAGTGCCTCTTACCCCATAATCTTAAAATACCTTAGTGGCACTAATCAATTAAAGAGCAAAGCATACTTTTGAGATAGGCTATGGATATAAAAATCATTTCACAAACTGAAATCAAGCAATCTCTGGTACAACAGTTGTTACCATGCACAACAATTCCTCCAAACAGCTCAGAGGGAAAAGGATGTCGTATCCAGTTAAAATTTTAATGGGCTTTAGTTGGACAAATGGTAGTTATATTTCTCTTCATACTTATAAACAAACAAAACCAAAACAGCCTAATGTCAGTCTGTGGAATAAAACTTTCCCCAGGATTAGCTAACTAAATCACCACTTAAAATCCTTAGATTACTTTTCCACAGAGTAAAATAAAATAAGTATATCTAAAAGTCAAATACCTTTGGTCCTCGTTGCCTCGTGCATTTTCCCATTAGTTTTTCATCATCTATTTCACACTGCTCCAGAAGATCCAAAATGTCCTCCTCCTAGAAATGGGAATTTTGCTACAATTAACTCAAAGCAGAACGTATCTTATCCTTCCAAAGGTCAAGTACCAACTGGTAGGAATTGGACATTATTCTGATTACTAATTCCTGTAATAAGACTATTAATCCCTCCACAGAAGGACATAAAAGTATTTCTTCTGATGCATGCATTTCTGCTTGCAGTCAACATGAAATTGGAAGTTAAAGTCAAGCCTTAACATTTATTAAAGTCTGAAGAAAGGGTTGAACAAAGATTCCTATAAAAATGCTTGATGATGCCAACTACAAAGATGTGAAATTATTTCTCAGATTTCAAATTAGATCACATTAGTTGGTTATTTTAAATGCAGCCAATTTCCTAGTGTTTATCTCTGACTACATAAGTAGGCAATCAGAATTTTTGTATGCCTGCAACTAGTGGAGCTGGTTTTATGATTATTTCTCATTCCAGCCCATAGAAGTGGATGAATAGGCTGGAACACTACTGTAGGAAGAAGGAGGCAACCACCAGCTCAAAAGCAGTTTCTGCCAACCTCTGGTTAGACCAGGGGTAAAGCTGAGAGAATCAGGGAAATGATAAATTAGCTTAAAGCCATCCAGCCTGTCTCCACCGTGGTCCACTGCAGTTCATCCAGATTCAAGGATCTGGCCCACAAGCCGCACAAAGAATAACAATAAAATGACGGAAACATTATCAAATGCTATGTATTAGCCACTGCACATTATTATCCTGAAATGGATCCACAAGGTCATGAATTCCAAGACAAATAAATAACTCCCAAACCAAATACTTCTTGTGCTTCAGTACCTTCATTCTTTTTAAAGGGTTATTCATTTCCCGCTGAAGTGAAGCTGCTCTCCCAGCAAGAAACGTCTGGAAAGCAATGGCTAACAAACTCTCATACTTTTCAAGTAATGTTTTATCATCAGGAGGGTAAATTCGCCTAAAATTGGGAAATAAGAAAATTTAAGGCAGAAGTAGTTATCATGCTAGGAACAAAAGTGCACACAGCACAGTCTCTTCTAAAATACATATGCATCCCATCTGCAATAATTATATCATATCATAAAACATACACTCTGAACATTGTTCTCCAAATTTAATTTTAATGCAGTGAACACATTCCAGTTTAAACCAGCAATTAGCCAGCCAAAAGAAATACCATGCAGGTCATTCCAGAGATATAACAAAACCCAGTTTTGCAATACTGTGAAATTTCAGTGGGTGTGCATGATGCCTGCAGGTGTGCATGACTCATGAAATATTGTGCACAATATTGCATGTAAAATTCAGAGCCACAAAATAATTTGCAGTAGCAATAAGAGGACACAAAACAGTGAAAATCTCAACAACTGCTTTGAGTTACTGGGCATGATGTAAATGAAATACTGTGTATGTACTGCACTTCCATGTTAAATCATCCAAAATAATGAACAGGAAGAAATAGATACAGTAAGAAAAAAATCTAGTATACTGGGTGACTCTGATTTTCCATTAGAGCAGCTATGCCATTATTCTCTAAAATCACAGGTAAGGAGTTTGTAACAATATGAGAAGCAGGACTTGGTGATTTATTCATGCTTATCAAGCAACAATGGGCTTTGAAGAAAACCACTCCAATCCATTTTTCATGAATGCCTGAAACACAGCCAGAAATCATGAAGGTGGGAGACTGATTTCTGTGAGGAGTAATCCATAAGTTAATTTATCCTGCACTTCTACCTCTGTCAAACATAGGTACCATTTATATCTTGACTGGCATTATGTGACTTTTATGTTTTTGTGGATCTTTTGTGAACTTCTTACCAGATTCTTTCTCCTTCCTTTTCAGTCTTTTCCTCCTTGAAAGCATCATTATCTTGTTGCAAAAAGATGGCTATGATACCATTTGACTCAGGGCAGTTCTAGAGCTAACTGAAGATGGTTCCAATTTGCATAAAACACCTGGAGGAGCTCTAATCTAGCTGTACTCAACACTTTTTAATGGTGTTGATTCTACTGCTGTGTAAGTGCCATAGAGCAACACGTTAAAGAAAGAATATTAATGTTAATATATGCAGAAATACTCTGGAGGTAAAAGGCCATTTCAAAGTCATATACTTCCTTTTCAGTTCTTCATGAAATCACTAAAGTTTGAGAGCATGGCTCCTACTTGGAGTCCCCATGTCTCCTACTAGAATCAGTGGGTTAGCTGTGCTCGCAGATAGACCCTTGACTAAGCCAACTGCTGAAATTACATCCATAGACTAAATCAAACCCTGCTGAGGTAGATTTGGGTTTCTCTGGACTTTTATTCCAAAAGCAATATAAATCCATGCAGCAATACTAGCACCCAAGATTTCCATGATTCTATGGCAATGCTTGAACAAGTCCTGCTCTGCAGGAGAACATCACTAGGAGACAATACTGTATGATGCTCAGATAAAATTTCTCTGCAAGTCTAGCCAAGATTCCTTTACTTCTCAGGCTCTGCTGATTCTTCAGCCTATTTTGCAAGCACACAGAAATAAGAAAACACAAAGTTGTTCTGTCCTTTTACATGTGCATATTCCTCATGAAATGACACTTCATTTTTTCATGAGGGAAAAAATAATGTTTGTATTTTTATTGATTTACATTAACCAAAAAGCCAAATAAAGAGAACATCTCAGCACTGAACAAGCAACCTAAAATGTAATCAGTTAAAAAGTTAAGACTTAAAAGTTACTGAAAAAGAAAAATGTATCAAAACATTATCATGTTTCTCCTTCTTATAGGCTAAGTAGCATGAAAATAATTGCTTCATTGTGGGGGTTTTCTGATGTTCTAGTTCAGTTCCACATATGTCAGAAAAGGATGTAATTAAAACTGGAGATTTTATAAAGAAAGACTTTTTTGTAAGCAAAATGTCAATTCATCAAAAAATAAAATTTCACAGAAACACCCTTCTGCCTAAAATGAGAACCTTACTGGGAATTACAGAACATCTCAAAAAAGCAGAGATAAAGAACAGCAGTAAAGGCATTCTGATAAATTCAGAATAAAAGATGCTAACTCAGACCTCCCACATCCTGGATAGATGCTGTAAGAGTGGGTAAATGCTCCCAGTATCACTTCCTAGCTGTACTCTGCTTCTTTTTGCCAAATATTCATAGGCCTTGTTTCACTTCTCATTGAAAAATGAAGAAATAATAAAAGTCATAAAACAAAATTCTTGTTTTCTGGCCTATTATGACCAAAAAGTTAAAGCCTCCTTTTGAAAGTATTTTACCAGGGAATCTGAAGATCCTTATGTTTAAGCCTACTAAGATCCAAACTCAAAGGGCAGAAATACAAACAGAATTTCAAATGCCATTCTATCAAAAATGATGGAAGCATCAATAAAGTTTCTGACCTTTTGGCAAGCCTCATAGATGACATTCAGATTTTATATTTTTATAGGGGAATATTCACACCCCTAGAGATAAGAATAATCATATGTGATCCTAGAACAGGTTCATAATGAGACACATGGTTGTTGGTACACTGAATGTGAACAGTCATATCTTTCAAGCAAACACCTTGCACAAAATTTAGAGTGACTGATGTCATATACACTCCTAAGTGCATGCAGAAATTTGGAATCAAAGAAAGATATGGGAAAAAAATCAGAACTTTACTACCTAGTGTACACATATATATTTTCTCTAAATGCCTACACACTTTTGGCAGAAAATTATCATCTACCACAAATACATGCTTCCATTATTCCCAAAGAATGCATTGAATACTTCATCCTAATACAGTCAAAATTAGTTACCTGTAGTTCCCCATGTGTCTATTTTCATGGTCCTCTTTGGAAATCTGTTTACGTACTTGTGCAAGTCTTTCCTTCTACAAATCAAGAAAAGAAGACAATTGAAAACGAAAAGAGCTTAAGTCATGAGCCAGAAACAGCACATTTTCTCCTGCCTACCAGTTCTTCTTTTCTCCTTTCCAGTGTGTGGCGCTGCTTCTCCCACTCTGAGGAACCTGGCAACAGTTTTTTCATTGAACCTTGACCGTACAGTCTTTTTTGAGCCTCAGCCTTCTGTCGAGCTAAATTTCTCCTTTTATCACTGGTTCTGAAACACAGTTGATATTAAGATGTGTCAATCCAGTGCAGCCGAGATGAGATGCTCTGTCATCTCAAGTATATCATCTGTACTTCCCAGTCAGTCATGTACAATTTCTGATACAAAACACCAAGAATTTCTTTTTAAATATTAATTTTTATGGCTAAAATTTTTCACATTTTAAGGTGCACTGTTACAATTCTGTACTATTATTTAATGTACAAACACAGTTATTTCTTTTTTCCTCAAGCACAGATTTTTGCCAACATATTTCAACTACAAAGTTTTCCTGTAGAGGGGCATGGCTTTTGACTAGTGTAAAACTATGGACAAAGCAAATTTCCTGTCTGGCCACGTGCCCATGACTTCACTCACATCCCAATATTGACACCTGTTTAAAAAAGTAATTTAAAAAAAAAAGAGTACAAAAGTTACTATTACCATTCATTTTTTGCAAACTCTTGAGCAAGAAGAAAAATACATTTGGGTTAATTTCTATTAGTAAAACTGACAGCCAGGAAAACATTACATTTTGAAAATACAAAGGTAGAAAAAGGTCTTTTTTCTTAGTCCAGTTCAAATTTTAAAAACAATTTAAAAAATCAAATCAACAGAAATGGAGCCAGACTGAAGAAAAGAGGGCAAGCTTACCTTATGTTGAGAAGCTTTAACGCATTTAGCAGCACACCTTTTTTTACATCATAGTCTATTTTTTGATCAGTTCCAAAGCTTGGGGCACGATTTATCTGAAACAATAAGATACCAAAGACTCAGTAATGTTCAGATTCACTGGAAACACATCTATTGTAACAGGCTTTGAGGAAACCACTTTTTCAAATATAACAGAGAATAAGGGAATCCATGTTGAGAAGCTCATTTCTGTTAGTATTTTTTTTAAAATAGAGCACTGAACACTACAGATACCAGGAGACAGGAGATGTGACTTTCAGCCACCGAGTTACCTAGACACTTTACAATGAACAGCATTCAAGCAGTGACACTGTGAAACTTGTCTAATCTATCCTTGGTTGCTGTAAACAGAAACTTCACTCTGCAAAGTGCTGTTAAACACATTATAACAGACTATGAGCCATGCCACACAAGTCCAGCACAGGAAGAGTTCAACTCCTTTCTACTTCCCAGTCTGAAAGCAACTTCGAATGCTTCTCTAAAAAGTAACAACTCCATAAGGGCAAAAAAAAGCTCTAATTCCAGGTATTCTCAAACTCATTTAAACAACTATTCAGATACACTTTACAGCAACACCTAGAGATAGAAGTTACTTAATCAGTACACAGTGTGAAAACATAATTAATAAAAAGTTTATAAGCTAAGCACAAGATAAGAGATTACAAACATTACCATAAATATAGAACAAGGGAATGCAACTGAGAATCAGTGAGACCAAATCACCCCCTTAACAGCCAGAAGTCTCAACCAAGCACTATTTAACCACTGCCAGCCTTTGGAGACCCTGCAGGAGAACATCAGCTTTCAGAAAGCGTTGAGGAGGGATAGGGTAGCTGTGTTGACATTTCTATTCACACATCCAGGATTATATAAAAATTTATCCATCAGCCATTTATACATTAGCCTATTTATACAATGGGTTCTAACGAGAGGCAGGAATCTCACCTTGACAGTGAATGAGCAGTGCTGGTTACAGAAGGGGCAGATATTAAAGAGCTTCAGAAGTGAAAACTAATACCTTGTGCCCAATGCAAATACAAAGTGGGATACAGATAGTATGTTCAAGGTAGAAGGCAAAAGCAGTCCATTAAAATTGGGTTTTAACACTTTAAATACATTAGAGCACTGTAGAGCCTCTGCAGCTTATGGAACAGAACTATTCTGGCTGGTGAGCCACCAACTGTCCTGTTGCTGAGCCCCAGCTGCCCCATCACTTGTGCTCATAGCCAAAGGGTGTCTTTTGCCTTTGAGAATCAGCTTGTTTGCTGGTTTTGCAGACAGGCTGGCAAAATGAGCAACGAGATCTGATGTTGAAAGATCATGAAAATTCAGCAGAAAGACTTTAAAAAAAGACTTTAAACAAAATATTTACTTGATCCACCTCCTTAGACTGACCTGTTCATCCATCACATCACAAAGACTAATTTTTTTTTAATTGTGATAGCACAAACATTTATTGAGATTCTTTTGTTGGTTTTTTTTTGTTTGTTTGTTTTTTAAAATGTGTATGTTCCACTTTCAGCTAAGCAAACATGTTAACACTCAGAGGAACTAACAAAAGGATTAAAACCCAGTTCTGCAACGTTTCATTAGAGAATACTGGCAGTTGCTAAGACCAGACATACTGCATCTCCTTTTCAACATGAAGTTTCAAGAAAACATTTTCACTAGAGCTGCATTGACTAAATACAGCTGATAAATTATATAAATAGGAAATATGCCCATTTTGAGATATCACATTGTCTAATCCAGGAAGGATTAGATATGTTTAAAAGCATATGCATGAAGATCCAGTATGAAGCCTTATGCTTCAGTCCAGCAAATACCTACGTACACAGAAAGCTTACTGGACTGAAAACAGAGATAAAATAATCAAGCCCCAACTCTTTATTCAGAAGAGATGTTAGGTATTGAACAAAATTATATCCTGTACCATGTATTGAATTTTTTTTACTCCATATGAACATGTAGCAACTAACAATATTTTACTTTGAAATTATGTTTTTGTATGCATTAAAAACAGGTGAACAGAGACATACTTATTAAAGTTTCCAACAAATTAATTCCTAATATTTCATTAACACCATATCATTAAATCCAGTGAGACTGCAGTTAGGTAACAGGACCTATTTGGAACATGCAAAATACTACCATAATGAATTCCTAGAGATGCACAGACACGTGATTACACAGCACTGAAACATCCAACTTAAGAGCATACAGAAGTGCCAACTGTTGTACGTATATTTGGTTTAGGTAATGCCTAGGTTTACAACAATTTGAAGTATATTACTGGCTATGAATTCTGTCTTAACAAAAATGTTATGAATCTGTTACTTATATAAGCACCAGTTTGAGTTAACACTATGAGAAGTATAAAATTATTTGAATAACCATTCCTCTTTTTGTCAAAAACCTACACCTGGCACTTCAGAACAAACAAAACCACATTGACTGTGTTTTTTATGCAGAAAATTAAAGTGGGGTTAAGAAAGATGTAAGAAGGCATTTGAAATGCTATTATGAAGCAAAATGCTATTAAGATACATTACATAATCGCTTCACAGTAAGATTTCTGCCACTTTAATGCAGTAATTAAAGAGGCTGAAAAGCTAAAGCATTCATAGTCAAAACTGGAGTGCTCCTCTATCATCTGCATCCTCTATTTTTTTGGCATGTCTTTCATGACTACCATTTGAGATCCCAATCCTACCATGACCTCAATTCTCTAGAGTAACCTGAGGGGCAGCAAAAACAGTAATCTAGCTCTGGTCAGCTATTGAAAACTTAGCTTGGTGGCAGGAGATGCAGGTCCAGTACAATTAAAATCCAAGCAACCAGGTACATCAGAAAGTTAATACACAGAAAGCAGGTGTTGATTTAAAGCTCCTTAGCTTTTCCATACTGTTTGTATGTATACTTGAACTGCCTCTTGATTTAGTATGAATATGTGCAAGGATGCTTCACTAACAAACTTTACCCTTCTTCACCTGTTCCATGCACCTCCTTTCCCACAACCGAACCTTCAAGAGGCAGTCCTGACAGCTGGACCTTAAACGTCAGCTAAAAAGTTTAATTCTCACTAAGCACAGGTAGAATTATGGGAGGTACAAAAATGGGGAATTATCTTCATCCAGCATTGCCACCCAAAACTTCATAACCTGAACCCACTACGTAAGCCTTTGAGGTGCAAAGCCACCTATAGTCTTGACGTGTATCTATAAGAAATCATAATTAAGCCATAAAACTAAGGCTTTAACCAGCAAAGAACATTTTTATAGGAGAAAAACCATCTTCAACTCCAGAAAAATAAAATTAAACCAAACCAAGCAGCAGATAATCTAATAGTCTTTGCTATAAGTAAGTAAAAAGAAGGAAAGGATTGAACCAAAGAGCTGGATGAGTTGTCTCATCAGTTGCTCTTCCTAATGGTAAATGGAAAGGTTCTAAATATTGCTGAACTCTTGGGTCAATGGGCAACTGAGCTTTTACAGCTTTTATGCATATGTATATAAGCTCTGCATATGTATAAGCATCACATAACTGAAATACTAACCTTGCTGAAGACCATGGGAGGACAGTGTTAATGTCACTCTGCTCACCTAACCAGCCAGTAATGCCTGTGCACCACTTGTTTCTTAACACTGCCTCACTAACACCAAAGTGCTTTATGAAACACATACAGTTTTACTGAAGAATGTGCAAAACAAGTGTGCTTTGTTGCAAACCTATGAAGAAAAGAAATTGTTCCTTTTCTAACTTAGAATAAGATGCAATAGATGTTTTAAGAAAATATTAGCTAAACTAATGAATATTTTTTAAAATCCCATGCTTTTATAGAAATGTATTTTCAGGTTTCATTATGTTTTTAAAGACTCTTAGAATAATGGGAATTTCCCATGCTTAAAATTTATATTTACAAAGCTCAGAATTCCTTTGTTAAAATTATTAACTATTCATTTCTGGACATAATGTGAACAATTACTTTACAGAATAATGTAACTGTTGTTTTATGACTTTTCATACTATTCTTATTTGGACTTCATATAACTTAAGCAAAACACTGAAGTAAGAAGTGAGCCCTTCTTCTCAATAGAGTAATAGCACAAGCTGCTCACCTTGGCAATCAGAGATTACTGGGCTGTGCTCCAGTAAGAGACAATGTGGACTCTCAGGTTTCCTATGTATTTTAAATAAGCTGAAATAATTCAAGTATCAATGAAATGCTATGAGATATATTTGAAATGTATTTCCTCACAGCTGTAGTCTAAGTAGTACAAGAAATGCAAATACCATTACCCTACACATTTGATAACTGCATGTAATTTTACTCATGTAAGGGATTAAACACCAGCTATAGAGAACTGTCTTCCTTTGTCAAAAGTGGTCACAGGTGAGAATCTTGATAATACTTGGGCAAAAACCACTATGTTATGAAAAGTGCTTCTCCCTTAAAACATTCCTTAAAGGAAAGCACTGTCCCTTATTTTTAATGTGGTTGTCCCTTGTTTCCAGATAAGAAATACAGTTGTTGACTAACCTGTAAGACAGCAGTGTTGTAAAGTAATCATGATAAAGTAGCAGTGATACTGTCACAACAAGCATTCATAAGAATTGGTTACCAAAGCATTGTCTCTGTAACTCTCTGCTGAGAGACCATTATTTAGAGTTCAATGACCCGAAAAGCAGGACATAGACATGATTAGGTTATGTTAATACAACATGAGTAATTTTACCAGGAAGGTACATCTTGGAAATTGTTGGTAAGAACAGGATTGTATAAGAGGCCCCAAAAGTACAATCAAATTGAAAATCCAGAGACTCTGATATACACCGATCACACTGGCAAAGCAGTGCTCAATACAGGGCTGCAGCCTTGTGAACTAGACAGCTGTGGATTTAGGACTAACAAAGGTAACACAGAGCAGAATCCCAGAAATGTAAAACAAACCACTTATGGCATAACTTGGAGGCAATGTAAAATTGCTGGCCCATGAATGAACAGGCAGTAAGTGGAGGGTGGCAGCAAATTAATAAAAACAACCCTAAGTGAAACTAAGAGCAAAGAGGAAGAAGTCTTCACCATCAACAGTGTTTTCTTCCTCGTGAAGCACATAAGAGGCTGACAACTGGCTGTAATCACCAACCTATCTTTTTTTGGACTCTCCTGGGGAGAGTATAACACAAGAGAAAGAAGTAGGTAGAAGTAAGCTTGTGTATGTGAGCTTTAACTGCTTTATTAATGGGAATTAGCAATAATTAGATACCCTGGCCTAAAACGTCCAAAGTCCTTTTAATGGGATGGATAACAAAGTTTGAATGGATTTTGCTAGTTCAGTTACACTAATAAAGTTGTGGATCTGTATACAAGGGGAGTTTCTCTCACCCACATAAATCTCAAGGGAAGCTGAATATCCTGCACCTGAGGAAGTCATTAAACTGATCTTTTTCTCCAAGAACCACAACTTTGTAATCCAAACTGGATATAATGAGGCTGAATAAGGCTGGGGTCCATCAAAGAACTTCACCTGTATGATTTTCCTATGTTCATAAAATGATGTATTTTGAAAGTTTTGGTTAAAATGAATAAAACTAGATTTTATGGGAACAGAAAGGAGATCTAGGTAGTTGTTACTCAGAAAGGATGAAAGTTGTTGGGACTACACAGATGCTTGCCAGAAACATTCGGTGCCACCAGATGGCAATCACACATTTTCCACAGGCCTCACTTCGGTAGAAGGTTCGGGAAGTTCAGTAGCATCAAGGAGCAGGACAGCAAAATCACATCAGGGCAATACAAGCAAAAGTCATCTCAGGAAAGTAGAGTCATTGTAATGTTACACAATTTATTTAATATAATAATTTATTAAGCTATCTTCATAATATAAAAGCTACATGAGCTATAGAAACATGAAACTAGATTTACTATCCAAATCCTATTTTGGCAATTTTCCTGTAACGCTGGGAACATTCAGGGCCTTGTGATAAGTACTTGCTACCACTGTTTAGAAAGAATGATTCACTCCCTTAGGGGGGGTTT